GATTATTTGTGTGTACAAACACACCCTGCAGAACATAATACTTTGAATTAGTTGCCAACATTTTGGACCTGAGTTCAAATTCTAGTTCTATCACTAACAATCCAATTGAAGGCTAGTTACCTTGCTCCTCTGAGACTCATTTTTCTCATGTCATTATGGAGAAAATTATAGATATTGCTTATTGATTGTTTGCTTGGGAGTGTTCTAAGTATTTTACATATGTGGTCCTTATACTAACTCATGAGGTAAGGTATATTATAATTCCCATGTTATAGATGAGAAATTGAGCACTCTACCTAGGTTGGTGTGAATATTCAATGAGATAGTTACAGTGTGATGAATTCAGCAAATAAATTCCAGGCTCTTGTGTACAAGCAATGAATTGCAAGTGCACACCTGACAACAAGTGAAAAGCAGCTACATTTACTGAAGATCATGGGAAGATGTGCTCAGAGCAAGTCCCTGCTGACAAAAATATGGCACAAACAGAAAAGTGGTGTTGGGATGACAAGAAAGTAAAAAGTACTGCACACAGATAAATCAGGCTTTCAGAATTTAAAGGATATGCACCTCAGCCCAGATGGTTCCCACGGGATTGCTAGGTATGATTAACAGGGTGCTGAGTCGCCTTAGGAGCTCTCAATACACATGCCTGTCCCAGAATTCACTCTGATCTTAATTACATTTATTGCATATTCATGAACCCTTAATGAGGTTTGAGTAGGGTAAAGGTGACTGAAGGTCAGGCCAGGAGATCCAACAAGTATGTGCCCTCACCTACAGTGACAAAGGTCTCCTGGGTTTTTGTTATATTATTTTCTACCTCTTTTAGGACAATGGAAGGAGGAATGGTTCTATGGTGCTATTCAAACTTAAATGAGTGGAAGGGAGTAATGTCCTCAGCTCCCTTTTTCTAACTGCACTAATAGTGCATGTAAAACAGGACATGATTTTGTAATTGTAATGTAGAAAATAAACACCAGGATGCCTGTAATCCCAGAACTTGGAAGTCTGAGCCAGGAAGGTCAATTGCAAATTGAAGGCCAGCTTGGAGAAATAGTAAGTTCCAGGCAAGCCTGAACTATATAGTGAGATTTTGTTTTAGAACAAACAAGGAAGGAAAGAAGGAAAAAAAGAAGAGAAGAAGGAAGAAAGGAAGGAAGCAGAGAAGGAAGGACATATATTAGGTGTTATTGTTTATTTTACCTAGTTGGTCTTTGTAGTCATTTAAATTTACTACTTCTGATTACTACTTAGAAGCAGGGTTGCCAAATAACATACAGGATACTCAGTTAAATGTGAATTTTAGGTAATGAAAACAATTTTAGCATAACTTACATGCAATAGTATTTAGCCATGTTTATGTTAAAAGTTATCCATTACTTATTTGAAATTCAAATTTATCTGAGCATACTGTATTTTTGTTTTCTAGATCTGGCAACCCTACCTGGCACCAGGGACAGAACTTGTGTTCTTCATTTTGCAGATGAGGAAACACCCTCAAAGCGGGGAAATAATGGAGACTCAGGTCATAAGTAGTTTCTTTGGATCCAGGTCTCAGGGTCTCTGAAGCCTCATACAGCGTCTCCTCTCCATAAACATCAAGCTTTTTCAGCTTTCCCCTGCCTCTGGCAATTGAAAGCAGAGCAGTTCCAGGGAAGAGGGGGACAGAGCATGACTAATCCTTCTGCTAGGAAAGCCAGTAAGTGACAGGCGGCAAGTGGGCAGCTTGGGTTTCTCTCCCAACTCCTTCCAGCTCTGCAGTCATCTTCCTTCCATCCTCTTCCAAGTAGCTGGAGAAACTCCTTCCCTTGCTAGTGTTAGTGGCAGGCTCCTTTGGGCTTCCAGTCCCTGCTCTACCTAGCAAGGGTGGGTCCTGTCCAGGCCGACATAGGTATCCTAGGCAGGAGAGTGAAGGTGACTCAGGATTCTATCAGCCACTATTCCTGCATTTTTTTTTTTTTTATGTGGCATAGACTGGCCTGAGTTCTGAATCAAGGAGCCTGACAGCCACACTGCATGAAAGAATGAGGGAATGGCATAGCTGAGATTCTCTCGTTGTCTTTACCAACCCAACTTGTCCTTCACTAAGCACCTACTCTGGATCTCCCTGAATCTTCACAACATTTTAGGAAGTAAGATCTATTATTTTTATATAGAGGTTTTGGTACTGGGGATCGAACTCAGGACCTTGAGCTTGTGAGGCAGGCAGTGGAACCACTGAGCTAAATCTTCAACCCAGTAACTCTTTCTTTAGATTCGTAGAACCCAGAACATCTGGTGACTTCAGATGATAGATGGTAATAGAATGTGTAATGCCCCTCTTTGTTTTTAAAAAATTTTTGTGTATCATCTAATGCAAAGGATCTAAACTGCTGTGGTGTTTAAATTGCAGAAGAGTTATCAAGGACTATTGTAATGTGTCTGGTTGAGGAAAGAAAGGAGACACTTGCCCTAGATGAAGATGGCCTAGTCTTCCTGCTTATTGTCCCTCTGCTCCTCCTTTCTCTCCCTTCAAAAGCTTTTGGTGTCCCTGAGTTACCTGAGATGGAGAAATGAAGCTGTCTTCTTCTGAATCCCTATCTTCTCAGGATGCTGGCCTTCAGATTAAACTGTTTTCCTTTTACCAACTCTTGTCTCCCAAGAATTGGCTTTCCAAAGCCAAGCAGACTACAATGACAGGTTGTTGACAAAAGGACTGAATCTTTGATCCATATGTCTCTGAATCTTAAATTATTAAATCTTACTAGGTACTGCTTCCCAGATCAGAGCTAATTCACCCTGTTGATATTACCAAGAAGGTTAGGATAGTATAGTCCCAGGGGTTCTTAAAATGTAATCCCTGGGCATCAGCATCACCTGGGAACTTTTTAGAAATGTTTATTCTTGAGACTGATTGTAGCACTTCCTCCAAAATTGTGGAGGTTGGGATTAGGGGTATGGTTTAGTGTTACAGTGTGTACCGAGTATGCCCAAGTCCCTGGATTCAGTCCCCAACCTGAAGGGGGTTGGAGGAGGGGAGAAGAGAGAAGAAGGGAGAGGAAGGTGAGAGACACACACACACACACACACACACACACACACACACACAGAGGGAGATATTGATTCTTCTTGGAGAGGAGGCTGGGAGTATAGTTTAGTGCCTAGCAAGTGTGAGGCCCTGATTTTGATCCCCAGCACCAGAAAAAAAATTCTGGGGCAGATGTCTGACAATCTGAGTTTTAACAAGCCCTCTAGGTGATTCTAATGCATTCTACAGTTTGAGAATGTTTGGCATGTAGTAGGAGATGCATTTGTTTTTGGAATAAAATGAGTATACTCAAAACATATTTGTTGCCAGACATGATAGCACATGCCTGTAATCTCAGTATTCTGGGAAGCTGAGGCAGGAGGATTGCAAGTTTGAGCCCAGCTTGGGCAGTTTAGTGATTTAGCTAGACCCTGTCTCAAAAACAAAACATCAGCAAAAACAACAATAAAAAACATCTGATGTGAAGGGCGCTGGGTCCATCCCCTGTACTACAAAAATACACAAATAAGTAAAAAATAAAGTCTATTGAAAACTTTTTTTTTAATGTACTGGGGATGGAAACCAGAAGCACTTTACTACTGACCTCTATCCTAGCCCTTTCCATCTTTTATTATTATTATTATTAGGTACTGGGGATCGAACTTGGGTCCTTGCGCTTGCTCAGCAGGTGGCTAAACCACTGAGCTAAATTCCCGGCCCCTTCATCTTTTATTTTGAGACAGTCTCACTAAGCTGCCAAGCCTGGTCTTGAACTTTTTTTTTTGGTACTAGGGATCGAACTCAGGACCTTGCGCTTGCAAGGCAGGTGGCAGAACCACTGAGCTAAATCCCTGGCCCTGGTGTTGAAGTTTTGATCCTCTTGCCTTAGCTTCCTGAGTAGCTCAGTGGTAAAGTATTTGCCTTGCATACACAAGGTTCTTGGTTCAATCCCTACTACTAAAGCCATAAACAAAACAGCAAATTCTCAGGCTCCATTCCAGAACAGTGAATCAGAAACTCTGGGGACTGGGCTTAGCAATCAATGTGTTTTTAACAAATCTTTCAGGTGATTTTGATGAGCACTAAATTTTGAGAACCACTGCCCTAGAGAATCAGAATGGGGTAAGAACCTAAGGAACCTGAATCTTTAGTAAGTTCTCCTAAGGTATAATATAGGAAAGAAACTGACATGGTGGTTTGAAAAGTACTTTTAAAAGTGTAAGTAAATTTCCAGATGGTAAAATATTATTTTCCTAAGGAGGAAACAGGCCAAATGATAATAGCAAAGGTCACTAACTGCTGAGTTCTTAGTTGTGTCTCTGAGTCATTATGTGCATAGTCTATTAATTCTCACAAACAATTTGTGAAGGAGTTTAGGAGGATGGACTCCAAAGCAACTGCTTGAGTTCTTATCCAGCATGCAACTTGGTTTATGTACCTGTAAAATGGGGATAATAACGGTGTTTCTCTCCAGTTTGTTGTGAGGATTGAGGGAGCCTACTTTTCAGCTCTTAGAACACCTGCCACGTTGGCACCCTTAAGTTGTCATTATCCCCAAGAACTCCCTTTAAATGGTGGAGAAGGGAGGACTTGAACCCAGGGTAATTCCGAAGCATGCATTCTTAAGGACTAGAGTCCCACGGTTCTCAAATTATAATCCCAACTGTCGATATTATCACCAGAGAATTTGTTAAAAATTCAAATTATGAGACCCCCATCCCACATCTACTGAATTAGAAACTGGGAGTAGGGCTCAGCAGTTTAAGTTTTTAAAAGCCTTTCAGGTGACTGTGATACACACTGCAGTTTGGGAACCATAGCTAGGCCCTAGAAGCTTTGGTGGGCAGGGAGTTAAAAAACAAAAAAAGCCCACAGGTGGTGCGGGCTTCTCCTTGTCCTTCGCACCTGAAGGGGAGGAAAACTCGGATTTAGCTGCCGGCGCGCGAGGCCTGCTGGGGCTCGTAGTCTGAACCGCTGCTGAGTGCAGGCGCCTGCGCATTGGCCCATTACTGGCTCTAATCGCTGTGGTCGGGGCTCGGGACCGGCTGCCATCTTAGTCCAGGGACTGAGGAGTCGCCGCCGCCCCGAGTCCCGGTAAACACCCGCGGGCGGATTGAGGGCAGTTCTGGGGAAGGGAGAAAACCTGGATGAGAGTGGCCGGGGAGAACGAAGAGTAGAGGAAGGCTGCTCGCGAATCGGGACCTCAGAGCTGTGGCTGCTCCTTCCCCCTCGACCGGTGCCCGTGGGGGGCGCGGGGATCTCGGGGTAGCGGCCCGGCCTGGCGGGGAATGGGTCAGCAGGACGCACAGAGTGGCCGGTGCCTACTTGAGGAGCCCTTCGCTCCTCGCCTCTCGGACTCTGAGTTGTGACGAGGCCGAGCCACCGCAGGCGTGGGCTGAGTCCAGCCCCGCGCCCCCAGCCGCGCTCGAGGCCACTGTCCCGCCGTCCGGCCTGCGCGTGGGGTCTGGCAGCTGCGGCCCGCCCGGCTACGTGGCCCTATGAGGGGCGGCGGCCGGGCCCACCTGCCACCTGGCTGTCTTTCCAGGGACTTTTCCAAGCCCTCACTCTCGCAAGAAGGGCCCAGCAGGCGACCGCCTCCTCTTCTTCCGTCCAATCCCCACCTCTGTCCATTGTCCCCCCGCGTGCTGGTCCCGGCCTGGGCGCCCTCCTCCGCGCGGCCACAACCACCGTGGCGGCGCTGACCTGTGCAGACGTGGAGCTGTCACTGCCCTTCCTCGCGAGAGTGTCCTTTTATTTAGCAGAGAAAAGCTAAAAGTAGCCGTGAACTACTTGAAGTGTCTTAACATGATGAGGACGTGACTTATAAGTGGAGAACTCAAGTTTTCAGACTTGGTTCCGGGCCTCAATTTAAAGAGGGAAACACAGGGGTCCTTGCACCCGAGGTAGACATTGAGCCTAAAGTTAGTTGGAAATGTTGACTAGGTGAACGAACGTGCTTGGTACCCTAAATTCACAATTTCCCAATAACTCATCTGGTTTTCTTGGCTATATTTGTATCCTAATCTTGTTACATTTTCCATCGCTGTTTAACAGCTGCAGTAAACTTGTTTTGAAGTGGGGGTCGGGGAGGAAGAGTGAGAGTTTTCTTTGAAAATTAGAGAACACAAGCCAGCCACCTTATTGCATTTAAGTAGGCTCTTCTGCACCTATTTGTAACACAATTCAGTCTTCGGAAGTATGTAAAAGCATTGTGTTTCCACCCTCAAAATTGGCAAAGGACTTGGTTCTCATCTGAAATAAAGTTCTCATGGCAAATCTGGTGAGAACCTGTACTATGTAGTCAAAGGTTTACTCCAGACGTAATTGTTTTATCTTTCAGATTTAGAAATGAAGGTGGAAATTCTCTTTTTGAACAGTGAATATACTTTTTTGGAAGTTTAAGTCCAAAAGTAATTAATTTGTTTGCAGCATAAGTGAATGAGAGTGTGATATAAAATAAAAAATAAGGGCCAGGGATTTAGCTCAGTGGTTCCACGGCCTGCCTTGCAAGCGCAAGGTCCTGAGTTCAATCCCCAGTACCAAAACAAAAAAAAAGTGAGTACAGAGTACTTTTTCATTATATTATGTAAATTTCTACCTTTTTGGGGGAAGGTGTGATTAGGGTCTTGCTATGTAGCCCAGGCCTGCCTTAAATTCTGTATCCTCCTGCCAGAAGATTTGAGGGCTGGGATTACAGACAGGCACTATGTGCTCAGCTCCTTACAGTTAAAGAGAGAGACAATTTTATAGTCCACAAATTTGACCATTAGGACAATAAGAAGAACTTTTTAAAAGAAGTTGCAGGGTCTCATTTCTGAGATTGATTAGTCAGTCTATATTGGCTGCTACAATTTATCTTTAAGACATGCTTCAGATAATTCTGATGGTCTTGAGAATCACTGAGGCAAAAACAATATGGTGGATATTCCAAGGACAGTTTAAAAAGCACTGAGACAGAGAAGAGGAAGTAGCCAATTCTCTTTGTGGGCTGGCCAGAGGAGGAGCCAGGACTTGCCTGTGGATGAGAAGTTTGATTTTAGATGATGAGTTGGAATGTGACAGAGGTGGGGAAAGGGAAGGACACCTTAATGCCTTTGCTATGTGTAAATTCAGAGGACTGTGGGAGGAAAGGAGTTCAGGGAATAGAGTGGAGAAGGTAACTGTTATAGGACATGAGAAAGGTAAAAGAAAGCAGCTATGAAGAGTTCTAAGTGTAATGCTAAAATTAAATTTTAAATTTTATGTTGTTAGATGTAGATGTGATGGGAGGACGTATGTTTTTAGAAAGATGGCTTTGGAAATAATGAAAGAGCAGAAGAGTGGCTATTGCAGAATTCTTGGTGAGAAGCAACAGCCTGACCATGGGATGATCAAAGGGTTGGATGTATCTTTTTTTTTTTTTTTTTTTTCAGTACTGGGGATCTATCTCAGGACCTTGCGATTTCCAGGCGGGCACTGTGCCACTGAGCTAAACCTGAGCTAACAATTGGACTGTTAAAAAGATACATCCAGGGCTGGGGATTTAGCTCAGTGGCACCGAGCCTGCCTTGAAAGTGCAAGGTCCTGAGTTTGATCCCGGGTACCGAAAACAAAAAAAACCCTAAAAAAAAATAGTGCAATTGTATTGTCATATTTTTGGATGTGGATTTTTTTTAGGGCTAGTCTGGGTAAAGGGTTTCTTTTCTATTAAAAAAAAAAATACCAAGCCTAAATTAATATTTTCAGGTTATATATGTTTATAGTATCAGTGTAAATTGTTCATTACCATCTTTAAGAAATTAGAATGAAATGGGTCAGGTGCAGTTTGTTATCTTTTTTTTTTTTTTTTTGGTACCGGGGATCGAACTTGGGACCTTGGACTTTCGAGACAGGCAGCGGAACCACTGGGCTAAATCCTCGGCGGGTCAGTTGCAGTTTGGAAGAGAACTTGGGAATTTGTACTGAAATTCATGATGTTGATAGTATTGATTTAGGCTTGTTAGAAATATGTTTCATCGGGGCCGGAGATTTAGCTCAGTGGTTCCGGCACCTGCCTCGAAAGCGCAAGGTCCGGAGTTAGATCCCCAGTACCAAAAGAAAAAAAAAAAAAGAAATATGTTTCATCCAGCCCATAGAAACTTGTTATTTGGGTTTTAGAGTAAATGAATTTTGGCTTATAGGCCAACTCTGATTGGAAAAGCTGCTGGAAACACTGTGTTAAGAAAGATTCTAGTTGTGTGTTCTGTGGGACAGTGTATTATGATGGATTAGTAATACCTCCAGTGGACAGTTATTGTCCTCCAGTGGACAGTATCTCCAGTAATACTTCCAGTGGACAATAATACCTCAAGTGGATAGTGTAGGTGCTATATATTTGCTGGGTATATACTGTTAGACATGACTAGCCTTTTAGTTTTCTGTTTGTTTAAAAAGAAAAAGATTTGCTCAGTATGAGAGCACACACTTGTAGTCCCAGCTACTATGGAGGCTGAAACAGGAGACTCCTGTTTGAAGCCAACATGATTTTGATGCCCTGAGTTTAATCCCTAATACTGGAAGGGTAGAGCACATTATAGAAAATAACCGGGGTGGGAAGAGTATTTTACATAAAACTACTTAAAGAGTTAGAGCTAGAATTAGAACCAGCCAAAGTGAATATGTACTATTAAAGAACTGATACTAGAGCAGGGGGAAAATGTTATAGTATTTCCAGCCTGTGCCTCTTGACTGTTTAGGTAGGATTTTAATGAGACCTTTGACCTACAAATTAGTTTTGTTCATTCTTGTTTAAGAAATTTGTATTAAGCAGGGCATGTGGCTTATCCCTGTAATCTCATCACTCTGGGAGGCTGAGGCAGGAGGATCGCAAGTTCGAGCCCAGCCTGGACAACTTAGAGTCTATCTTAAAAAAAAAAATAAAATAAAAAGACTAGGGCTATAGCTCAATGTGAAGGCTCTGGGTTCAGTCCCCAGTAATCAAAAAAAAATTTTTTTTTAATGTATGTTAATATTGATAGAAAATAGTCACCCCCTCGCCACCATTTTCTTTCTTGTTCCTTATTCCTTTCAGTTTTGGGTTTGGGGGTTGGTTTTATTTATATGAATTAAAGCAAAAGTATATAGTTTTTTTCTTTTTGTATATTTGTAGTACTTAGTTAAATTCTGAGCTCATAATAAACATTCAGTAAAGCCATGTTGATTTTTGTGTCTGTAAATGACATTGGCTTTGAGTCAGTACTGTTTAAATCAGTAAGGGCAATCAGAACTGAATTGCAGTCTTCTCTGGGTCAGCTAAAAATGTTAGGTTGGAAACTCCTCATAAGTAGAGACACTTAACCAGAAGCTCTTCTGCCCTGGGCTTTTTCAGTCTATCAGGCACTGTCCTTGGAAAACTGCTGCCAGCTCAGCTCTTTTCAGACCTGATTATACCCAGAACTTTGGAGTGCTTTTTCTTTTTCTGTCCCTAAGAAGCTCTAAGTTGCAGGGAATGTCATTAGAGTGACCTGTATAGGTAGGATATACGTTCATCTGGCTGTCCTCAGTTTGCCACATGTCCATCATACCCAGGTGGGTATTACCCCATACTATATCTGAGTCATTTTCCCTTAATTTGCTCTTCCATCTTGCCTGCTCCTTCAAAAATTATCCTATGATAAATTTTTTTAAAGACTTTGTGCTAGGGGAAAAACCAAACCAAACCTTGTTCTGTGAGATTCCCAAGGTTGTTGCAGATTGATGTGGTTTTTTGGGTTTTTTTTGATACTGGGGATTGAACTCGGGACCTTGAGCTTGCAAGGCACGTGGTGGAACCACTGAGCTAAATCCCGGCCCTGCAGATTGATGTGTTTAACTATAGTAAAACTATGTTAATGGACCCTCCTTCCCTTCTCAGGTAACATGCATTTCACAGTGGCCTTCTGGAGACAACGCCTTAACCCAAAGAAGTGACTTGAACAGTGAGAACTTCAGGTATGCTTACATTCCTCAGACAGATTTGGGGATAGGATGGTGCAGAGGGCAAGCCCTGGTCATATAACTGCTGTGTGGAAGTATAGAGCGAGAGTAGTGTTGATGCTGACCGCATCATTTGATTGGAGAAATAGGCAGTTTCCTCTTGGATCTGAATCTCAAAGCCTCCTTGGCAAGGACTAGTCTATGAGCCATACTGTCTCTTAATTTGAGTCCTTTGACTTTATTATTTTTATATAGCTCCATATATATATACACACACACACACACTTCCTACTTGTGCTATTTTATACACAATTATCTCTGTAAACTTGTTCAGACATGTGCATGTGTATGGTTAAGAAGTAGAGAAGAAGACAGTATAGGGTGATAGAAATAGAAAAGATCTAAGTTCTTACTTGATTTTGTCACTGACAAGCCATGTGACTTTTGGCAGCTTATTTGGTCTTATTGGGCCTCAGTTTTATTTTCTTAAACATAGATGTATTTATTATTGATTCCTACCTGCCTCCTAGTATTATTGTTAGAATAAAAATAATACATACTAAAGCTTTAGGGAAGAAAATGAATTCAAGATTTAAGACATTATCTAGATCCACAAGGTGGGAGAAGCTGTAATATTTTACTAACGTGAGAGATGAGACAAACTATTGATTAAGAGAAAAAGTAGAACATAAAGTCAAGCAGTAAGAGAATATGGAGTGAATGAAGTAGAGCAGGTAAATTTTTAGGTAAGAAAACTGAATAGGGAGAGAGAGTTAAAATAGAACTACCATAAGATCTAGCAATCCCACTTTTAGGTATACATCCAAAGGAAATAAAATCACTACCTCAGAGAAATACCTGTACTTCTATGTTCCTTACGGCATTAATCACAATAGCCAAAATAATGAAAACATCTAAGTGTTTGCCTAAGGATACATGGATAAAGAAATTGTGGTATAAGCTGGGCTTGGTTGGTGTACCCTGCAATCCCAGGTACTCCAGGGCTGAGGCAGGAAGATTGTAAGTTTGAGCATAGTTTGGGCAATTTAGTGAGATCCTGTTTCAAAATCAAAAATAAAAAGAAGGCCAGGAATTTAGCTCAGTGGTTCCACTGCCTGCCTCACAAGCTCAAGGTCCCTAGTTCGATCCCCAGTACCAGAAAAAAAAAAAAAATTAAAAAGGGATGGGGATGAAGTTCAATGATAGAATGCTTACCTAGCATGCATGGAGCCGTAGATTCAGTCTTTAGTACTGCAAAAAAGGAAAGAAAAAGAAATCGTGGTGTATATATGATGGAATATTACTTGACCTTATAAAAGGGAAATTTGGCTGTTTGGGACAGTATGGATGAATCTGAAAGACATTATCCTAAGTAAAGATATGATCTTATATGTGGAATCAAGAAAAAAATAAACTCACAGAAATGGAGAGAAAGGTGGTCATCAAGGGCTTGGGAGAGGGAGAATTGGGTAAATGAGATACTGACATACCCTTTGACGTACCCATTCATACGTTCTTGTTATTACTGTAAATATTAATCTTTACTATTCATCTTTGTGAACTTTGTATCTATATTTTTGTTAACTAATTGCCTTGTAAATGCTTGAGACAAACCTGTAATTTGCTTATTGTGGTCCCTGTTTGTTATAATCCAATGAATGTGTAAATTTTTTTTTAAATTATGGAGAGAAGATGAGATGGTGGGGTGATTTGTGAGAGATGCTAGAAAGAAAGTGGGTAAGAGGGAAAGTTACATGAGATGGTAAGAGGAAGAAATCTGAAGTGACAAAAAATAAGACATGGAAATGAAAATGTAAAGAAAAAAGGAAAAGATGATGTTATCGGCAGTAAGAAGAAAACATCTTTCATTTCTTTTCCTCTTTTTGGGGAGAGGGTATTGAGGATTGAACTTAAGGCTGTTGAACTGAGTAACATTCCCAGCCTTTTAAAATTTTTTTAATGTTTATTTTGTTTTTGTTTTTTGCCCTGGCCAAAAATTTGTCTTATGTTTTGCTCATGCCTTAAGGCCTTGCAGGAAACTGAGATTAAGGATGACTAATTAATCTGGTGGAGAAAATTTCAAGGCAGCTCAATGTTCAGGTTGTAGTTGGATACTGCTTGGTTTTTTGGGGGGTGGGTGGGTTTTTTTGGTACCAGGGATCAAACTAGGGTCCTTGTGCTTGTGAGGCAGGCGATGGAACTACTGAACTAAATTCCCGGCCCCTGCTTGGTGTTTTTAACAAGGTTGAAACTGAGAAACAGGAGCAGAAAATCCATTTAAAAAGTTTTCAGTGGGCTGGGGATTTAGCTCAGTTGCACTGTGCCTGCCTCACAAGCACAAGGTCCTGAGTTCAATCTGTGGTACTGAAAAAAAAAGTTTTCAGTTTCCAAAGAAAGGAAGAGCCTGCAGAGTTGGTGCCTAAGAGAGCAGGATTGCTGAAAAGATTAAAAAGAAGCTAAGTACTTTGTATTAAGACAATAGGAAGGATGACTTGAGGGCATCCTGGGAAACAAGATCCCACCCTACACCCTACAAAAATGAAAGACTTTGCTTTGACAAGAGAGACCCATGACACTGTACTCTTTTCTAGGGTGAAGAGGGAAATGTTTCCCAGAGTTCAGCCATCTAGGCATTCAGAGGCCTCTGCAGTCATGATCCAAGAGGGCCCTGCTATGGCTTGAACTGGCAGCATACCTTGGTATCATCCACATGGTACTGGTTTTACAGGCATGCTGGATCCAAGAGTTATAGGATCAAGGAGGCTTCCACTCAGATTTCAGAAAAAGGCCTAGGAGTCCAGGAAATGTGCCCCTGAGAGGGCAGTATATGAAGTTATGAGAGTAAAACTGAAAGTGCAGAGAGACCCCAGAAAAGTAGAGAAGCCAAGAACATGAAGTGTCTGAGGAAAGCTGCAAGGAGTGACTAAAGCTAGCCCAAGAGAGAAGCCATGAAGGCTACAACCATCAGGAATCCCATAGGGATGGGGCTACCCAAACCTTTTCAAATTCATATCATCATACCTTGCCATAGGAGGTGGGGTTGAGTTAGGTGAGGCAGGTCGATGGGAATGTGACCTGTAAGTATGTCTCTTATCTAGCTCCTTCCTTCACACTCTGCTTTTTGGCTGCCATGATGTGAGCAGCTTTCCTTTGTCAGATACTGTGCCATGCCTTCCTGCCTTGGAGCTAGTCATCTGTAGACTAAAACATGAGCCAAAATAAACCTCTCCTTGTTCAAGTTCCTGGTGTTGAATATTTTGTCCCAGCTATGAGGAAAGTGATGAAGCCATGGAAGCAAGAGGATTAGGTAGGAGAATCACAAGTTTGAGGCCAGGTTGGGCAATTTAGTGAGACCCCATCCCCCCAATAAAAAGGCCTGGAGTTTACTTCAGTCAGTAGCAGAGTGCTGGCTTAGTATAGTGAACCCTTGACTTATGAACTGAATTCGCTTGTGAGGGCTGGTTGTAATTTAAGTTGGTCAGATTCCTCTACACAGCCTTCAAAGTCTCTCTCCTGTATAATTTTAGGTCACAGTTTTCCAGTGAGGTCTCAGTCAGTGTCCTTAGAGAAACACTGGCCCAAGATTTCTCAACCCCACACAGGAAAGGATGTTGTAATATTCCTTCCAGAATTCTTTAAGGGTTAAATCTGTATCTGAGACCATCTGGAAGCACTAGCAGTTGGCATTCAGGTCTTAACTCAAGACTTTGGTCCTAAGTTAAAACTAAAATTCTGGTTGTAACCCAAGTTGTTTGTATGTCAGGCTGGTCATAACTCGAGGGTCCACTGTACTCTTGAGGCCCTGTCCCTGGATTTATTCCCCAGTACCACCAAAAAAAAGCAAAGAAAGGTAAAAATCACATTTAAAAATTCACCACGGGGGGTAGGGAATTCACCACTGTAAGGTACACAATTCAGTGTTGATTCACCCTTGATCTAAGGGGTGAATACAGATCAAGTGTGGCCTGAATACCTTTTTTTCTAAAGAAAAATTGAATATCCAGATTTTGTAAGAAGTATTTATTTTTAAGTGTTGGCAACTTATGAATTCATAGTATAAACACTGTGGGACAAACAAATCACTACTGTGGGCAGAATTTGTCTTGTGGGTTGCCACTTTGCAACCTCTGATCTGGGCTTGTCTTTCTGCATCATAACCCATGTTTTCTGCCCTCTGGGAAGAAAGTTCTTTCCCACATAAAGACTTAAAATAGTTCTAAACTGAGTATAGTGGCACATGTCTGTAATCCTAGCACTATGTGAGGTTGAAGCAGGAAGATTAAAAGTTCAGGCCCGGCCTGGCAATTTAGCAGTTTAGTAAGTAATGTAAAAAAGGCTAGAGATGTATGTTAGTGTGAAGGCCTTTGGTTCCATCCCCAGTACCACCAAATAAAAACAAAAACAAAAAAAAAAAAGAAAAGAAAAAGAAAATAGATCAAGCATTACTTCAGAGGAGTCTAGGGCTGAATAAGGTGTATGAGAATAATTGTTAAGGAATAGAAGAGGGAAATTATTTAAGTCTAAGATTCAGAATGTGGAAAGGTATGGAGTCAGGAATGAATGTGAGGTGGTGGTGGTATAGAAAATAGATTATTTGAAGTTTAAGAGGGTTAATGAGGGCCTGGTAATAAAGGTTTGGAAAAGTTTTGAAGAGATCAATGTCTTATTTTAGGATAAATTTGAGATTTACTGGCTCTCTTAGTTACTTTTCTCTTGTTGCTGAGACAAAATACCTGACACTCAAAGTTAAAGGGGAAAGGGTTTATTTAGCTCACAGTTTGTAAAGGTTTCAGTTGTAATTAGCTGGCTCCATGGCAGAGAGACATTGCAGAGGAGAAGCAGTTCGTGGTGCCCATATGGAAGGAAAAGGAACAAGGGAGCTTAACAGTGTCTTTCTGTTCTCATCTTATTCAGATGACTGGAATTAGGGCAGTGCCAAACCAAGTACTCATTCAGTGTAGTGGTTTAGTATTCACACGCCCTTAATCCTAGTATCACACACTCTAAATTCAGTC